ATGAGACTTCTCCAACCTTTGTCGAAAGGTAGCATGCCGCATCTGACTGGGCTGATTGAGCTGCGGAGAGCTTTCAAAATGGGCCGACTGTACGTCTTTGGATTCATTATGACGAGGCGAATATAAAGACTGTTGAAAATGGTGCTGCTGTTGTTGATGCGCAACTTCTGAAAACATGGCGCTTCCCTCTCGCCTTCTCACTCCTTAGACCCGAAAGTGACAAGGGCAAGCAAACAATGCACATCCGCTAGATGATGCCAGTGGTGCTTTCAATGCAGTTTGGTGTCTACACCAAGACTCATCGGTTGCAGCATGGATATGTTCCAATGCCTTTGCGACTTCTTGTCCAACGTTTCCTGCATGTCATTCTCCTGACCGGCCGAGGGTTGGCTGAGGTTCTCCTTGATTGGTGGGATTGCACGCGGTAAGCAGATGACGATGGAATCCGCAAGAGATCGGCCGGAGAGGGGGAGCGCTGGAACCGTTCGAGCAGGTATGCGTGTTTTGATTGCCAGTCGCAGAGGTGACTACCTGGGTAAAGCAGACGGTAGAGAGAGGGTCAGAAGAACGGGAGAAAAAAGTCGAGGTCTCTCGTTCTCTCTTGGCTTGGCTGATAGAGACTTGGGTCTTGAGAGAGGCTGCCGCCGAACTGCACTAGCTGCTGTCCGTGGCTTACCCCTAGCGCCCAAAGACCACCCCCCCCCCACATAAAACGTGATTATGTTTGACGTTGCCGGACAGATATCCAACTGCTTATAACCGACGAAATTTACTTTACCTCGGTATAGGAAAGACTCGTGGAATGGGCCCACAGTCACGGGATGACGAGAAACAAGGAAAGAGAAGGTTCCCTACGGCTAGGGGCCTGAGGTGCAATCCAAGGACAGCGCTGGTCCTTTTTTGAAGGAGCCTCACACAAGTGGCTTCCAACCAATGACTTTTGCCCGCGATCCGACCGTTGCGGGCTTTTTGCATTGGCTGCAGATCCAATGTGTGGATGCAATGTAGGCATCCGGTTGATAGGCAGTCGATCTGAGTTCTGTGACACTACTGTTTGATAGGCATTTTCCCGCACAAACATTACTATTCGTTGGCTTTCAATGGGTGCCTCACATTGCGCACCTCCCTCCCCGCTCCACTGGCAAGATTTGCCCTCTGTCCCGCTGATCATTGCCTTATGCACTACCTCTGCACGGCGGGCTGCTGAATCATGCAACTGGTACTTTTGCATATTTCATGCATTGTAAGCAGCTTCTAGTAGTGCGCCATCTAATTACCTACACACCCTAAGAAGCAGACACATAATGCATAAGACGTCCGTCACATTCCGGTAAAGGTCTCCTTCAAGCTGTAAAGGTGCCCCGTAAAGAACCTAACTTTGGGCCACAACATTCTCTGCGTCCATAACAGTAGTTGACGCTTGGCCTTGTCTACGGGTGCTACGTTACATGCTAGCTGTAAAGACTTTTTGAGACACCATATCAAAGGCGCTGAAGGTTGTGCCAGGCTGTTACTCAAAAAGAGCTGCCAAGGGCCATTCTTTCTATGGGTTTCAGCTGGTACCTGAAACGGCCAGCCTGTCGAATCTGCATTAGCAAGTCCTTGGGGATTGCTTTTGGGGAATGACCTACTTCATCAGATGGTCCATGAAGCTCTGTAGCGACACATCATCCGTGAAGATGGTTTGTGTTGAATTGCCATTTCCGTAGTTACTATTGGTAGTGTGAGTTGTCGATGGGTTGAGCTTAGCAAGAAGGAAACGGGCCTGAGAGCCGCCTGCATCACAAATTATAAATCGAGGCAACGGAAATCGATCTTGCACCAATTCCTATGCAATAATTAGCCTTAGTTTGACACCAACCCCCCCAACGAGAGTCTGCCTGGAAACCAGCTTACCCTTGCGTCTTCCTTTGGTTGCTCCAGTATGCTCTTGAAATTTTCGTAACCTTCTTGATCCTGATAGCCTGCCTTCCTCCATTCCGCCATCGTCTCGCCATGGAAAATCAAGATCTGGAAGAACGTGTCTAGAAGCAAGATGTGTGTCGGATGGATAGAAGCGGAATCGAGTAAGACAGGCACACTGCCTTCTTGATCAAAAGTATAAGAATCTAAGGTCGGCTGGATCATGACCAACGAGTCTCCGACGTATTCATGGTTGAGCACGTGTCGATAAAACGCTGTCTCATCAGGTGAACTGTTGAATACCTGCAGGAAGTGGCTGCGACGAAGGTGGAACATGAATTGCGGGTATAAAGTAAAGTTCTTCTCGAGCCGGAAGGATGATGGATCGTCTTTTCTGTATTCTGCAAACCTCGAACACAGTCGGATGAGCATTCTGTCTACCCATCGAAGTACGTCTGGCCCGTCATCCACCTCTGCTTTGAATACCGCAATGCGGGACATGAGAACGGCGGCAGCTTCCTGATCGAAGGATTGGGCTATGGCCGGGTCACCAGCTGGTCCACTGAGGTTGCGTGCCACTGTGGTGACCCGAAGGTGGAATTGGCCGGAAGAATGCTGGTAGTAGGTCAAAAACTGCATCATGCCCTTTTGTGGGCCCTGCTGATGTTGCGCTGGTCCGCCTTGGTTCGCAATTTCGAAGTACAGTCCAAAGCTGGCGGTTGGATCAATACCGCACATCTTCCAAGAGCAGGTGTTACCGATTCCACATTCGGTCTCCCCCACGGAGTTCGACTTCTTGTTGAGAGACACCGCATGCCCTATAAGGCCAGTGACCTTCAACTCCTTGGTAGTTAACACTTCCAACGACGCGTTGAACCCCATGAGCAGGTTATCTGAAGCATCTTTATCAAAGACTCGGACAAAAGACTGTTTGAACTGCGATGAGGTAAAGCTATCGGTGAGAATCATGTGACCTCCAGTGGAGTTAGAAAGACCTTTCATCTCAAGAAGTCCGACCTGGTCAAGACAGCCTGCGAAGATGTCGATGATATGACCGTTGTGGGATACTCGCTTCGCAAGATTGTCGTAGAACTTTTTGTGTTAGTAGTAGAGCCGTGTTCTGATATTGGAAGCTTACCTTCAGAGCCTTCTTGTAGTATTTGATATTATCCCGATCAATATCATGATGTGATCGTATTGGTTCACGTAGTTCCGGGCCTACTACGAGGCCAGGCCCTTCTGTTGCTGGTCCTCCAGCGAACAACATAATCCTGCCACCGGCATTTTGAAATGAAGTCTCGAGTAAGCCCACTGCTACGCTCAAAGCGACCCCGGTACATCTCAGAGAACGTTTGTCGTTTGCTACTGGCCAAGGGTCCTTCTGAAGCTGCTCCAAAGCATTTGTGAGTTGAAATTCGCACTGCTGGACAGGCAGCAAGAATCTCGCAGTGGGTCCCATGACTGGGGCAGGCCTGCCTGGCTGGGGAGGTACATTGGTGCGCATGCTGGAACTGGATAGACCGAGCATCTCCTGGACCTGCTTTGCTGCGTAATCCTTACTCCCTCGGAAAACATACGACTTTGCGCACTCGGTATAGCCAAGCTCGTGCACTTGCGCCTGTGACAAGGTCAGTCTCGCATTCCAAACCAGCGCATTAGAAGGATTACCATCGTTCCAAACGTTATTAATCCTACGAGAGCATTCGGCGGCAGAAGGCTGAGGCTCATGACCAAGGAGTCTTTCAGTGCCTTTAGGCTGTCCTCCTCCTGACATGTGTCGACAACATAGACGAACAGTGGGGGGGCTGGTGCCGGTCGTGCCAGCCTATACTCAATCGTCGTGCTCGCTGGGTGCAGCTCGGGGGGTATGTTATCTTGTGTGATGTCTTTGTAGTGAGCAGGCAGTCCGTTCCGAGATAAACAGAAGGGGCATATCCATAACCGAGCTCTTGTATCGACAGTCCTGAAACTATTAGCTATCATGCATGAATCTAAACGTTAGACGCTACCGTACGCAAAGGGGTTAAGCACAGCTCGACAAGGAGCCTTGCAAGTGATGGGCTCATATTGTAGCAGCGGTGTGTCCGGCTTCTCCTTCAAGGGGGTGTAGAGGGCTCCAATGGGTACAACAAGCCGGGAGGCTTCCTGGATCGACATGAGTAGAGGCCGGCAAGATGGGCGGATACCAGACTTACCATGCGAGTACTTGGAAATGTGTTCCAACTTAGTCTGATGCCATCACGGTCCTCGACCTCGCTCCACTGGTCTTTGAGAGCTTCGTAGTCCATATTTCCCCCGGTCCCTAGAACGACTCAATGAGGAGGTGGAACGCAATACGGTGTGTAGTATTTCGACATATGAAGCTTCCAACCACTGGCTTATAGCCACCTGTGGCATTGGGAAAAGGCAGTAAAACTTATCCCCGGTGCACGGGGACCGGGCGGGAGTCTAGGCACGCTAATCTTACTCGTATTACGCACGAGCGCAATTTACCCAACTTGTCACATATCCTCAGCCTTCAAATTTTAAGACAAGACTTCGCGTATAAATTTGTTCAGGATAATGAACGGATACTCTTTGCTTACAGATGTATTTTGCCACAGTGCTTCTCTGCGAAGACATGGTCAAGGACGTCTTGCAATCGACCCTGAAATTCGAAAATTGTACTTGTCAAAAAGCTGCACTAATGAAACATACTAGTGGCCTCGAAGAGGCTAGTAAGTCCCGAGGATTAAGGTATCTTACTGCTGCCATCTTTGAATTTTTCATCATCTACAAACGTCGCCAGTCAAAACACATTACTGATGACGATCTTAGGTCTCCAATCCTTTGGTCGTTTTCGCGCTGAGCGAAGATTTAATGCTACCCATGGCTGGGCGCCTAGGTTTGATAGGAGTCGTTCCGATTCTCATGAGAACACTGGGAATCAGCAGAGGTCACATACTCTACAATCGCGGGAAAGGCCTACATCAGCTAAAGAAGAAAGAAATTGGTATGGCGAGGTTCCGCAAATTGATTAGAGGACGACATGGTAATGGGCACCTCAAGTAGTATTAGTCTAGGAACATGCTATCGAATACCTTCAGGCATCTAGCTTTTTATCTGACCACTAGCCACTTTTCCGTGATCTCCCAAGCCTTCTCCATATTGCCGCTTGCTGCCCAAAGATTTTGCAAAGCAAAGGCTGCCTCTTGTGCAATATCTTCTGCTCGGCAACCTGACTCCTCAACTTGCGCAGCCGCGCTCATGGCTAGGCATCGTTCATAGTATGGAATCGCGAGATGGGTCAAGCCCAATAGGTGATAAGCATGAGCCACATTGTACTCCGCTTCCTGCTTCTCTGAGGATCTACTAGACCGTTGTCGGCAATCGTAGTACTCTAATAGAAAAGCCAGGCCTTGCATCAATATATGGTGCCGGTTGTCGGCTTGTCGCTTGAGCGCATAGTGTAGGTATCCCAGGGCTAGGGAAAATTTGATCATAACGTTTGTTGGGTCAAGAGCGAGAGCGCGCAAGAAATAGTCTGCGTTGAGTATCAGGAGTAAGCCATTGCGTAATCGGCCGCCAAGCCTTGGATGGGACGTTCAGACGTACTAACTGCGTAAGCATAGCTTTTACCAGCGTAAAGTATATGACCGTAGAGCATGAGCAACACAACATCCATCTCTTGAGCTCGTATTTGATTGCCGTTGTCGTCTTTAGTGGTGTAAGAAGCTCTCTCTTGGAACAAGCTTTTGCGGCGACTGTCGCCTAACAGGGAGAAGTCCACGGCCTTGAGCTGTCGAAGTATATATTTCTGCGAGGGACCACAGTTGTACCAAGAATTCTCAGTATCAGAAAGTCTGTTGAGTGCCGAGAACAGGCGGTAGCCATCAGTGACGAATTGATACTCCTTCATGAACCAGCGAGCAATATTACAGAGTGTTTCGTCGTCGTTTCCAAGTAAGGCACATGCTGTATACGTATTAGTCGTCAAAACACGAGATCTGGGAGGATACTCACTAAACCAACAGACATGGATGCAGAAAAGCGACTCTGGCGAGTGGTAAAATACATTAGCATGGAAAGCGGCAGCGATGATCTCGTATGAAGACAGGATGTTTCCCCCGTGTGCAAGCGTCAAGGCATACGCGAGGAAGATTTCTAGCCAGCAATCGAACGGTATTCTGCAGTAGTCGCCGGGAATGACGATCTGATCGCCTTGTGCTGTTTCTGAAGTGACTGGTTAGCATGATGGAGCGCGAAGCACGCTGGACCGTCGAATATACCTAAGTGTGACTTTGATTGTTCTGCGAGAGCATCCAACTCGTGTTTTGGTCTTGCCGCCATCGACCGAGCTTCTCTGGAATATCCATAAAATTTATGGTGCTTGTCAAGCGGGTAGAAAACCTTGTTGTCTTTGAATTCTTGAATCAATGTCTTCGTAATTGCCATCCATTCGGTCTTCGAGCTTTCATCGCCATTTCTAGCTTGCTCTGTGAGAGCCTCTCTCCGGAGGAAAAGAGCATTAACATCTTCCTCTTGGGCTTCCTCCCTTTCGAGAGAAATCTGCTTGGCTGACTGAGGCACCAGACGGGGGGCAAGCATAGTCGTTGCCCAAGAAGGTAGAGCCTTACTTTTTTTTGGCTGCTTTGCTTCCTTTCCTCCTACACGTTTTCTTGCTTTGTGCTGTTTTACCGAGACTACCTCATCGGTAGTTGGTGCTCCTTTTGGAGACACGTCTGATTCTGAGCACATCTCTAATAGTCTTCGCCGTGCTTCTGGGCTTCCTTTGTCACTGTCGACAACAATCATGTAGCAGTCTTCGGCTTCGGTCCTAAGTCCAACTGCTTTATAGCATGAAGCCATTTCCATGAAGAACGCCGCGTCCCCATACTCGCTGACCTTCTTTATTGGTTCGTAATATCGGAGAGCCTCGTGAAAGTATTTTCTCACCCTTAAAGCATTTGCTGCTTCGCGAAAAAGATCAGGGTAATCATAGATCTTTGCTCCATTTTGGTCATCTTCTGGGTCAAGACACTCGAAATGATTCTGCAGTGATGTCAGCCAATGGCGCGAATCAATTAAAGGCGAGGTACTTGCAATTGCTTCCATGAGATTTCGATTTTCAGACTTCAATCGGAATACTCCCAACTTGACACGCAACTCTAGAGGCAAGCCGTCGCCGTACGAGGTCACGTCATGTTCACCAGGCACAAATCCTGGCACGTCATTACGACGGGGCTGATCTTCGAGGTCCCATTCTCTGTCGTCCTCATCAAACGCTTCCCAACATTTTTCTTTTGCACGACCAAGTAGCCAGCGAGATAATGTTTTGAGCACAGTAATACCTTCCTCACACCGTCGCTGAACACCGTACAGCTCACAGACAATGTTAACGTCTGACCAAGTGAAACTGGTAACGTCACAGGGCTCAACTGATTGAAAATAATATATGGTGGCTTCGTAATGACTCAAAGCATTATCAGGCTCGTCAAGGTCGATGTAAATTTCCGCGAGGTGACGCAGGACTGTCGTATCGTGCGGAAGCTGTTTGATCAGTTGCTCATACTCGTTGGCAGCCTTCCTTTTGTGGCCCAATTCATGATTCAATGCAGCTCGCTGGTATCGTGCTTCGACATTCGAACTGTCGACGTAGAGAATGCGGTTGTAGCAGTAAATCGCGTCTCGAAGTGTGGAATCTCTGTCATCGTCATCACGCTCCAGAATCAGACGTGCGATTCTTGACCACATCTCAGGGTCTCGCGGCCTGGTGTGTGCTCCGTTCCATGCAGCACTAAGAGCCTTCGCTTTGTCACCACGAGCAGCGTGGATCTCTGAGAGTAGGTTGTGAGCGGGATACATTTCAGGGTTGATGAGCAATGCCTGAAGCGTGAGATTCTCGGCTTCTTCGTAATTTTGATCAATAAAAGCCATGGTAGCCTGAGAGTGTAGCGCCTTGAATTCTGGTGTTGGCTCGATGGGCTTGCGCAAGCCCTTTTTCATTCCCTTACCTCCTCGCCCAACCCTACCACCGCGACCTCTCCTTCCCTTCCTAGGTGCGCTTGAATTTCTACCAGATACATCAGCACGTCGGCCGGATCTCTGCCTTTGACGCAGCCGAGTTTCATCCCTCCGGCCTTTCAACGCCTCTGCATATGAGTCTTCATCCGATACGTTTTCATCTTCTCTAAGTGCATGTTAGAATGTCGATCTCTCGAGTTTCGAGGGAGGAGCTAAATTACGTTAGACCCGCTTCAGACTCTTGGTAGTCGGGATCCCAGGTCACCTCCTTGGCGGGCCCATGAGCAACACTATCGAGAACCTCGCCTCCGTCGTCTCCAGCTTTCTGGGGACTAGAATAAACCCCAGCGCGTGAGATCTCCTCCAAGGACTCCGGAGGCAGACCGTGTAGCGCTGACGGTAAATAACCGTCATCTTCTCTCCAGGGGTATTTGGTGACATATGCAGCGTAGTCTGGGTCTGGATATTCGTGTGTTGCGAACATGAGGCCGTAATCTGATTGGTCAAATTGCTCCATAGGAGGCTTCAGCGCTGAATTTTAAGTGTTTGAGCTAATTCTTGCGCAGAACGCTTCTGATACACGGAAAGGAAAGCGCATCCCATTTGTCATATCTTAAGACTGCTGAAGGACGTGAGTCATTTTCAGAAAGAGAAGGATAGATGGGTCTGCAGGTCAGGGATCGCTGAATCTACTTTGGCGCAGCAGGGACATGTTCCAAGATCCGTGAAAGTGTTGAGAAATTGAAAGACTGATACTCGTAGAGCCGGTGAAATCAGAATAAATGGGTCGAAATTCTTGTGGCAACGCTGGAGAACCTTAACAGAGCCGTTCCAATTCTCAGGTCAATCCACGTCTGTGCCAATTCTTCAGATGGAGCGCTTCTGAAATGAATCCCAGAAGAGAAGGTCAGCTTTCTAATACTCACGGCAGAAACAAAGTATCGTCGTCAAGACTTTTACATAACATAGTGCCCTCGGTAGGTACTTATTCTTGGCACACGAGAAAGTACGGATTTTACCTTACTGTACGAGAAAATCAAAACAGCTACAGTAGTCCTAAACCTTAACTTCCAACCTAATTTACTTCCCGGCGCTTTTCAGCTCTCCGTCTCACGCACCATCTTGTCGAGACGGTCTCCCCCATGCCCGGTTTCGTTATCCCACCGTTTCCGATCTTTCTCAACTGTCACTACTCGCATCACTCTTCGTGCTTTGATCCACTCGTGTTGACCCTATCTGCTCCTGAAAACGCAAGCGTTGACAGCGAGGCTCAACCCGCTACTCTCACATTCAGACCTTCCGCCTGATCGGATCTTGGGTGCCTAGTTGTTTTAACTCACTCTGCGGAGTTCACGACCCACATCGCCTCTCGGACTGGTATCCAAGCAGGTGGTATTTCCCTCAAGTCGACCAGAGTCCAAAAGCTACATCTCTCAAGGTGGACCCCGCCTACTAATCTTGACCCCACCACCACTCCTAAAAAAACAACATATCCGCCAATAAGCTCCATAATTCAAACTCCCTCCTGCGTGCCGGCAAAGCTCCTTTGAAGAAGGCAGGATCTGCACGGCACATTTGCGTCTGCATCTACCATCACGTCGATCCATATCCCGCTTTGAAAGCTCGCTCGACGGTCGGCAGCTTTTTCACTAGGACCAGCCACATAGAGTTGATCAGAATCTCTGTCGGCCAAGATGTCTGGCAATCAGATCATTGGGAATCGGAACAGCACGCCTGAGGCGTCAAGCTCCCTTCGGCCACCTACGTCTCGAAACCTTGGCACCGGCCATCACCTACGAGCTTCTGCTGACATGGGAGCATTCTCCTCTTCTCCGTTATCAGGAAGGAGCATCAGACCTGCTTCTGAAATGATCTACAACCAGTCACAGCAGTATGACGCTGCGGACAAAGCTGCCGAACAGTGGATAGCTGAAATTGATCAATGTGAGACTACTCTGGAAGAAATGGCGGGTGCTACAACAGATCAAGATTTTAAAGATGAACTAACAGCGATTGAGCAATGGTTCCGGGTTTTGAGTGAAGCCGAAAGGACCGCGTCCTTGTATTCACTCCTCCAACAGGCCACCAAGGTACAGATTCTATTCTTTATTCAGACATTGGAAGAAATGCTTCGGAAGCATCCTATGCCGGGCATACTTTCTCCCGCAAAGGTTGGAGACCAGGGTGCGTCAAACCCCTGGCTCGGAGATCCAAGTGCAGCTAATGATAATTCAGACAACATGTCAAATCGGATGAGCGATGCTATGGGCAAGGAAGGCTCTCGACACTCTCTCGGTCGACCTTTGCCGTCGCCCGGTAACAAAAGAAACTCGGGACTGGATCCATCTACGATCACTGCTATGTTTCCAGACGCGGCCGCAGCCATCGCCAAGAAAAAAGCCGAGTATACTCAGCATACGGGAAATGCACCAACCTCAAATCGCAACAGTGCCGCGTTTGGGGAGCGCTCATCCTTAGTCGCGCCATCCATATCAGAGCCTACAGACAACGCAAAAGAAAACATTATGCAGCCTAATCCCACACCATGGGGCCAGCGAGCTGCCGAGAATCGTCCCAAGTCGTCCTCAGGGCAACAACCCATGGGTCAATTCAGTCAGCCGCCTGCATCCGCCGGATTACGTTCTCCACATCAAATGCAACTTTCAGGCCACAGCAATGTCCAGACTACAAGCGTTCATGCCCCAGAGAACGCCGGCGATCTACCCATGCTTTCACCATACAACATCGGAAATGCAAGTTGGGCTTCCATGTCTAACACGCCGATGGCGCCCAATTTCAACACCCAGCAGGCCGCGACACAAGCAGACATGGTAGCAAACGCGACAGCTATGAAGCTTGCTGCCCTATCGACGGTCAACAACCGCATAGCGTTGGACGATGTTCGTAAATATCGTCGTACGAGGTCAAATGATGGCGAAAACAGTGCGAGCCAGATGTCTATGTCTCCCGCCTTGCCTCAGAATGTGCTGGTCGTGAACGAAAGCGGACAGTTACTGAACTCGCAGCCATTGAACGCGCAACAGCTTGCCGCAATCCAGGCGCAACAACAAGCTGCTTTTGCGGCCCAACGTTCTAGACCCGATTCTCCAGGTATTGCCATGCACGGCGGTGGCTTCGGCAACATGACTTTCGCCTCGCCGCAAAATAATGGCTATCTGGCAGCTTACGACGCTTCAGCCGGGCTGAGCGGCGGTATGGGTGCTCTAAATTTAGGTCAGTTCGGTATGGGACTTGGCAATAGTCATGAGGGATATCTCTCTGATCATTCGGAAATGGCCAGAGGCAGATCTCCGAGGGGCAGAAGGGGGAGCTCAAAGCCACCAGAGGATCCAACTGATCCGAGTTTACTGCAAGATATCCCCAGTTGGTTAAGAAGCTTGAGGCTTCATAAGTATACCGACAATTTGAAAGATTACAAGTGGACTGATCTAGTAGAATTGGATGATAAAGGCTTGGAGGATCGCGGTGTCAATGCGTTAGGCGCAAGGAGGAAAATGCTAAAGGTCGGTCCATTGACCTCACATCCTTGTCTTCATGTCTAATGATGTCAGGTTTTCGAGCAAGTCAAGGAGGCAAAAGCTGAGGGCAAGCTGTGAGGCCTTGACAAACGTGCTTTGGAGCTGTGTTTCCCCAAAATGATGCTCCACATGGTAGAAGCCTAAGCAAATTGTCGACCGTAATAAGGGAACCGATTTCCTGACCTCTCCTCCTAGGAACCTCTAGCACAGTACTGTACACTGGCCCATCTATAATTAATTCAAGTGTATACCCGTGAGGAAGCAACGGTCAAGCAGCGTGAAATGTTTTTCGCTACGAGCAACTAGACATTCGAGTATCAAAGTTGAGCTGCCCAAACATAGACTCAACGTTGTAACAAATCTCTATAGTAGAGGGTAGCAATGCGTGATTGAAGTTCGCTTAGCTTTACTCAGCCGGTTTCCATGGAAACGTTGGTTTGTTGATTTTTCTGATTCTCCCAATCATCCATGTGCATCTGAATGTATTGCGTACTCAGAGGCTATTGTTTTTTTTGTCTTCTGACCTTGGTTACACTTTGATACATACAATGCTCCAATGCCCCGAGGCTACCCCTTGTCTCATTTTGACCACCTCTGCATCCCTCAAGCCATTTACTTTCAAGCCCTACGAGCCTACGGAGGAACTACATTTTACCGCCGATGTCCAACGCGTAATGCAGAAAGCGCCACCTAGAAGGAGGAACTCCACCCAGCCTCAGGCACAGTCCCAAAATCTTGTCGTACAGCCCGCTGAAACCATTAGTAACGGCGCTGCGAAGGCGAAACACCTAGGTGACCAAGAAAATTTTGATAGGCAATCGAATAATGACAATTCGATGGGTTCTGGAGCGAAAATGCAAGCAATGCTACCGGCAAGACGCTGTGTCTCCGTCTTACATTCAGAGCGCCAGCCAGACGACTCTACCACAGTTCCAAATCAAGGTAAGGGCATTAACCAGCAAAATGATAAGGACATCCGAAAGAAACCGCGAAGACGGACTATATGGGTACCTCCCGAAGATACGACAGTTCTCACGATACATCCCAGGCTTCGATCTGATGCGAGGAGTCTGAGTAAATCTTCACTAAAGGTCGTCAATCAATCCGATGCTTGGAAAAGACGGCAAAAACAGCCACTTGCCGCAGCTCTAAGACGAGCTCCATTGCAACCGACGCTTAAGCCTTTACAAGAAAGGGAAGACCAACAGGGTTCGTACATTTCGATGTAATCTCTTCTCGTTAAACCGAATGCTGGGTCACAAGATAAGTTTCCAGAGCAGAAGACTCTTTGTGCTCCTCAGATCTGTTTTACAGCTCAAGTACTAGGCTTGAAGAAGCGATGTTGACTTCAAAGTGTGCGCAGATATAGCTGCAAATGGACCGGGAAAGGAAAATCTGCTTCCGCTCACTGCTGCGATGTCCCGTGACAAGATCCACAAGGGTTCGCAGATTCGAGCAAGGAGAGTCTCATTATTCGAGGGCGCATCCAGATGTGCTGCCTATCGTTCGGATGCTTTGCCTTTCTCTGATCCGTCCCAGGCGGCTCGAGAGCAATCACAGAGCACTGCTGAGGTGGGTTTCAGCAATGACCAGCCCAAAAAGGCCACCCGGCCTTTCAGAAAGCTTGAGATAGTCAAAGAGCAGCGGAAGTCCACGATTAACAAAAGAAATACTCTTCATTACGGTACAACATGGAAAGCATCAGCGGACCCGCACATCAACAATTCCGCATCCCAGCCGCCACCTACACTGATCGCGTCTATGCTGCGCAAGGTAGCCTCGTCAACAGAACAGAAATATCCAGTAATGCATGAAGACGTCGAAAGACCGGAAATTTTGGAGGATACTTGGCTAAATGACCAAGAAGCGATCCTCGCTCAGTGCGTTAACGGTCTTTTCGAGACCATAAACAATCGGGATCATATGAGTCATGGACATCAGAGGCGAACGCTCTTAGGTCTTTATCAAGGAGCTGAATGCTCCCTTCTCCATGGACGACTAAAGGCATCCCTTCTATATGGGTGCCTTGGCCGGCCAAAAGATTCGTTTAATGCTTCATCTTTGAAGAGCGATGTGGGGATATGCCGAAGTTTCATCAGCTTATGGGCCCGAAATTACAGTCTTGACATGCTGAGTGCCGCAGCTGAGGTGGTGGTAGGCCGCGAAGCTCTAGTCGACTCGCGGTGCCCCAAGTCTGCGCATACCCAGAAAAACTGCAAAAAGAGTCTGGAGGCTTTCTTGGACTCTTATCTTCTCCGCAATGAAGATGCACCTGATGCTGAACAATCGTCTCCCGCTTGGTGCTGGCGGCGAACAATGTTACGAAGCATGATGGTGATTTATCTCCTCGACAAAGCCAAGCAGATGAACATAATCTCAACAAACCTCTATCAAGCATCTTCGACTATCAAGTCTTCGCTTGCTTTCCTCAGAGAGCTCATTGCATTGATCCATCCATCTGCAGGAAATATCTGTCGTCTTCTAAAGTCTTTGGATTACCACGTTCACCACACTCAGTATCCCCTATCCGACTTTTCCTACAACATCGAGAATCTGGCAACTGATCTCCGAGATGGGGTAAGATTGACGCGACTCGTAGAACTTCTCTTGTATCCGCTGGGTTCGCGCACCACGCTCGAAGAAAACGTTACGATTGCAATGCCTAAAGGCGAAGTGTTGACAACCATGCTCGAAGAAGGACAATCCTTGGTTCTTTCGCAGCATCTAAAATATCCATGCACGGCAAGGGCACAAAAAATTTACAACGTGCATATAGCCTTGGGTGCTTTGCGCGCAGTCCATGAAGTCGGCCAAATTGCAGAGGACTTGAGTGCCGAAGAGATCGTTGATGGTCACCGGGAAAAGACATTGACTTTGCTGTGGGCATTATTGGGAAATTATGGCCTGGACATCTTGTAAACTTTGATGAGCTTCGAAAGAAAATTCGCAGACTTCGGAAAGCTGATGATAGCATGAGCGAGGATGAATCAGATGTCGAAGGAGATTGCAGTGGAACGAGGGAAGGTTTCCAGAAACTCGCGCATCTACTGAGAGCATGATCCGGAAGCATCGCTCGACGGAACGGTCTTCGAGTTCTTAATTTCACAACGTCGTTTGCAGACAGCAAGGTTTTTGCAAAAACAGTGAACGAATATTTGCCTTACCTTTCCGCTATTGTTCCAGTTGAATTTGCCGGTAAGAAATGCCAACTGGACGCGAGATAAAGAGACATTGGATGCAGCACCTCGTTCGGTAAGTCCTTTACTGAGCGCAAAAGCTTACCTTAACGATGTGCTAAGCTTATGCAGCATCTATCTTCAGACAACGTGAGAGGGATCGGGTTTGTAATCGGGACTTTACCGTTGCTGCCTTAGCTTTCCTTGCCTCTCGATTTCTTGACGCATCGAAGAGGGGCAGAGCAGCCGCGGTGATTCAGCGTACTTACCGACGGACCAGGAATCGCAGAACTCTCGGACAGAGGTGCAGACTATTGAAGCTAGCTTACGACTGCAAAACGGTTCTGGAGACCAGAAATAAGATTTTGAAAGCAGCGCGAGTATTACAGGGGGCGTGGAGGGGTCATGTGGAATGGACGAGGGAGCATGGGATTGCTTCTACAAGGCCACAATCATGGACTAGGGGAACAGACCACCAGATAGAGGCGACGGAAGAAAACGTAGATATTTGGCTCCTTTGAGTGTATTGTATGTCTGTCCTGCGTTCGTGAGGACAGCAGTAGGTAAGTAACTCGGAAATTTAGATTCAAAGGGATGGATTATGTTCCACCGCGGTTGGGCTTCGGCCCAAATCTCCTCCCGATGGGTTTCTCGATAATGAGATAGACGATATTATCAATAAAGGATAAGTGAGTCCTCGGCCAGAACGAGAGGTGGAGTGGCGAGAAATGCAAGACGATAAGATAATCGTTTCCAAAACCTACACGTAAGGTAAAGAGGTACTAGTACTGCAGTGTGGTTATGGACCTGTCAAATATCACGAATTGTTCATACAGTGATACCCCCCATTAGTGATTGTTTGGACGCGGGTTCAAGACACATGGCAACGGCATCAGGTATGTAAACCGTACTTACCTTAAATACCCTACTTTTACTACAACTAGGTCCACATCGTGCGCACGAGGGGCACATACTAACTAGTGGTGGAAGTCATCTCCGTGGACATAGGCTATAACCTAGGCCGTTCGAAAGAGAAGCTTTAGTGTTGGAGACGCTTAGTGGCATGAAGAGATTAACGTACTCAAGGTATTCCGGGTGTTTTCGAGCCGCTCAAGTAGTGATCCATGCAAGGGAGAAACCAAGAAGCGAATTCTCGCTCTCGACCTCCCGAGCGTATCTGGTTTCGTCAAGCCGTTGCTAATGAGCTGTGCATTACTGGGCTAATCAGCCGTGCAACATATCGACGCTTTCCATGTTCTGGACTCTCAACCATGGCATTGGCAGTCGCTGATGGCCGATATACCATACCGTCCCGCGCCACCAACAGCAAGATTATCCAGATGGCATCAGTTCGGCCTCGTGGATCTTACGGCCACGCAGCACGTTACAAGCCCCTTAAGTAAAGCCGAGTCTCCAAATCCATTGTACAGCTTTTGCCATCCTTGATCTCCTCTCGGTATATTGCCAAAGTCGGCCAATGTAACAAGAGGTATATGACGCCTGCTCTTGCTTCGGTTGCGTCGACCTCGAGTCTATAGCTTCGACTTCTTGAAGAAGGAGGCAATCGCAACGATGGCCACATTGTCCTCTCTGCCTCCTGAGATATCCCGTCAGGTGCTCCGCTATCTACCCATTAGCTCTCTCCGCGATTTGATCTAACGTCGAAAACAAATCATGCTCTCCAGTCGTGCTGCCTCTCGAGGTTGCGTCTCGGTGTATTCCATTCAAGGCTCGGTGGCATGGTTTCTCTTATGGAAGCGACAGCAGATCGGAGTTGTCTCCACAGCGTGCAGATGATTCTTCCAAAGGATGAAACACGGGCCAAAGTGAAAGCGATCTGTAATCAGAATCTCCGCATCGGCAAAGTTGTCGATGCATATCAGCAAACACTTCGGGATTTTGAGGTCGCCTTGTGGGAGCTTCATGACCCTTCAGCCTGGTCGATTGCTCAGCTCAAGAACCCCAAGCGACTATCGATTAGGCTTGATCATTATCATACCAGATTCCCAGGTATTGAGCGGCAGTTCTGGGAAAGCTCTCCTCGTTCCACGGTCTGGAACAATCTAGCTTCCACACCTGAGAAGACCGCATTGGGCTGTCTCCGAAGTCTCTATCTGGAGCGTGCAGGAATCACAGACTACCAACTCGCTACGGCGCTGAAAAGCAACCCCATGCTGACAGAGCTACGGTTCCGGAAATGCCTTACTCTGACCGACAGGACTTTCAAATTTTTCGCTGAAAGCAATGTTGGCCGGCATATAGAGACGTTGTGTCTCATCAAGAGCTACAGAGATGAACTTAACGATGGGCTCTTCGAGCACACTGCGAAGCTAACAAACCTAGAAGTATAACGCTTCTGATGAAGCCCCACTAAACTGTCAGGGCTGATCATTTCTTCTAGACTCTGTTGCTCTATGGCTGTACTAACGTTGACAGTGTATTCTGTGAAAAAATTGAAGGATGGGCAATGGCACATTCCTGATTTGACCCTATCGAGCACGCTCAGTTGCCCCAAGCCGAATGTTGAGATCGACCCGGCGTATCTGAGATGAGGCGTCTAGTCACTACTTGCTCGTACGCTAACTGAAACCCTCGTTATTGCTCTGGCTTGGGAAGATCATGGCACACTTGAACAGAATAGGTGCATGGCACATCATATAGGCTTCGCTGGCATGGTATTTATAATGAGGTTCTTTGAATACTAAACTTCTAGCAACGTTCAGAGAGCGGGATCACCGATCCCTGTAGAAGCCAGAATGAGCATGATATTCATCTTTCAATCCACCATCTAGGGGGGAAGTATCGCCTTACAACCCCAAATCGGGCCAGGCCAGCATTTCTCTTGGCGCTCTGGATTTCAAACAGACCTCTCTTTCTGGGGACACTGAGTAGGGCGACACGCATGACTTCTTGAGGCGGGGGGTTTGTACATGTAAGGAAAGAGAAAGGATAGTACCTCGGTAGATAAACAGGGTGTACATCGATTACGTCCGTAGCCGAGAGATCTTATGTAGACCACACACTGTCACGACAAATTTCTGAACTCCAGATTGCCAATCATGGCTACACATGTCGAGCAAGATTGGGGCACCGCCTTTTTCTTGCCCTCTGCCGTAGAGCGCGCTTTACAACAACGCCTCGTGTGGCAAGTACGAGCGGGTTACTGTAAACACTCTTCTATTCTGTTTGCATCTATTCAATGCTCTAAGAGGCTGGGAAACGGTGGTGCAGGCTAAGCCTTTCAAAAAACCGAGGGTCCTCTAGTTGTGTTGACCACGGCGTAACATAAGTGCTCAATGAATGGATATTATTAGTATCTTTCCGACGGATGACCAGTATACATGATCTCTGACGACTCATAGCATCTACCTTGTAGACTGTGAAGTATGGAAAATGTGAGGTTGGTATTTTGATAGTGAATACAAATCTAGCGCCGGTGGATGATGTCGATAGGCTGTCGTCCTGATTTGGCACAAATGACCAACCTCCCTTTTAACCCCCTTTTCCTCCTAGCTTCCAAGTTGCTACGCGAAAGCCCACAACGCCATCTACCACAGGCTTACCGAATTGCGTCATCCTCTTCGCAAGCATTGGTATTGATATCCACCAAAGACTTTTCTGTGTCTAATAGCTCAACATCAGCCGCAATGGCTCAACACTCCGACGAAGTGGATCGGCTCCTTCGCGCGATCATGCCACAAGCTCCTGAAGTCCTGCACCACGTCTTTGCACTTGAAGGTAAGTCAATCGGATTGTTCCTGTTCTCACGCATGCCTGATGCAAAGTCCAGGCGCCAACGAGGTCCTGCTGGGACTGAACACAGTAGAGAGTAAAGTGGCATACCTGGTCCATATCATTGCCATCGAACTGTACAAGGCCAGCAAAGCGATCAGCCCGAAAGTGCAATTTTGTCCAATGCCTCTGTCGCAAGCCTTGCTGACCTGTACTGCAGAATATCTCTTTGGGTCCAAACGACCTTCGATTCCACATCCTGCGGTCGGATGACTTGTTTGTCTCCTACCCTTACCACATCACCTTGCTCGATCTCGGAGAGCTCGAGGATCTGTACTACGCAGCCTGCGCAAAGCTCAAAGAACTACTCCAAGGAGTAGACATTCTCTTGACGAATAACTTCAAAGGTGTTCACGACACATACTTTGCCTATCACAACGAGCCACTTCGTAGCCTCGGCCCCATCAGCATCGGCGCTTTCAGGAAGTCCCTGCTGATCCACGAAAGTATACTCTACAGCAATGAGCTCCAGAGCTTACTGAACAGAGGAGTCATTGAAAAGAACAGCCGTGGCAATGAACTTAGTTGCCATCACGAGGTGAGCCTGGGCCATAGCACAGCCCAGCACAGTTTGAAACGTGGCAATTGGGAGGGCACCAAAAAGTACATCAATCTCCCAAAACATCATTCCGAGCAAATTTCAGGATGGCGTGCGGATGTCGAAGGTCTTCAAAACAAAAGCAACATGAGCTGCGGCATGGTGTTCGGAGAGTTGGCGGAAAAGTATAGGTCCATGGCCATGAATGCAGAGCTGGAAGGATCCATGATCGATCGGAAATCCACCCCTGAAGCACCGCAAGCCTTCCATGAGGAAGTCTTGACTCGACAATACATCAGTCCATACAACCTAAACGAGCGCGCTAAGAAGCTCAATGTTCCAGGAGGCCCTGAGATGCCCTGCATCTGCGACCCCGAATGCATTTGCGCACCTCTTTGCGCTAGCGATCCAACCCAGAATTGCTTGTGCGAGGAAAACGGGCTATTTGTCCGCGTCACCGAGGGCATGGATATTGACGATCTTGATGTGCCCGACTTGGTTAGACGCAAGAGACGACTTTCGGAGGCCAGCGAAAGCAGTACAGCTTCGCTCAACACTAGCGACCGACCGTCTTCTCAATGGCCCATCTATTCAGCTGCCTACGTCGGTGCGGTCACTCAGCTAGATGATCAGCTTCGAGTTAGGGATGAGGTTGACAAGCAAATACGCGAACAGAAGGCTCAAGCATCATATAATGTCGAAGTCCCAAGCCCAATGGTAGACACTGCAAGCCAGCTCGATGATGTGCTTTCCATGAGCGGCATACTTGAAGTATCCGAGGGAAACGATGGCCTCTTCTGGCAGGACAGATTGAGCATGCCGCGGTTGAGGATGTCGGATTTCACCCACTACCAACTTAGACAACCATTTTCGAAGCAGTGCGACCATCCACCAAAACGACAGTCTGTTGCTGAACGCCTATTCAAGACTAAGACCAGCAGTATGGCTGCACACAAGAAACACGCGGCGATTGATCAGCCTACGCAGGGTCAAAATATCAATTGCAGCAGTACCAGCAAAGTAGTGAAGCAGGCAAACAAGCGATTACTTGCCGACATCTCCTTCACAGGTTTGAGGTTCACTCGTCGCCGGGGCTCGCACGGCCATGGAGCTTGAATGCATAGTCAAAAGGCAGCAGAGTTCACACTACTCAAATGGTAGGGGGTGGGGATTTGTTGGCGAAGGGAATGTCAGAACAGATGGGTGGTCGACTTAAGATGATGTGACCATCTAAAGGATACAGAGTTATGATGGTACTATCAGACCCTTACGTCGAGAGGAGGGAAGGCTCATGTTCGGAAGGTGGCTCGTTTCCTTGTCCTCTTTTGCGAAGGGCGGCTTGAAACCTAAAATGCCTTGGTATTTGGATGAAGCTAGAATGTATCGCAACGTATCAGGCCGATCAGTATAAGATCTTTAGGTATTCAAAGCGCAGATGCCAGTCTTTCTAAGGAGACCATTTGGAGAAAGACGGAGTGAAGAGAGTCTGCACTCTGCGCTAAACAAGCGCTCCGTTCCCTCTTCTCCGTCGTCTCCGCTCAGCCCCTCAGCCCTACTCGTAATCTTAGTATCCAGAAGTGAGCTACCTCGCTTAATAGCGCCGGGAGAGTTGACCAATCAAACTACTTAGTTCACCGCGGAAATCGTAGTTTGATTGGTCAACTCTCCCGGCGCTATTAAGCGAGGTAGCTCACTTCTGGATAGTACGAGTAAAGTAAGCGCGAAGGAACAGCCTGTCCTAGTCTCTGGCATCCCTTTGTGCACATCACCAATCTTCAAAAGTTTGAGATGTCAACACTTTGTAACGGTTATCTTTTTACCATACGAGCCGGGAAAGAGAATTTTCTCTAATGGTGGTTCACTGCAGGTCCATTAAGATACTGCCTTTGCAAGAAACATGCAGGGTTTACATCAAGCTCTCGCAGTGGGCAGTGGCTCACCCCCATTACCACTTGGCTTTGTTGTTCGACGAGATGATTCAGAACAATGTGCATACTGGTGAAGGTCATTTTCGCTGCTTGAATCGTGTAAAAGATCGCCATACCCAGACAGGAGCGTGGTCATCTGAACGTTTGATAGCGATACCCAATCATCCCTAAGCTTCTACGGGTCGGGCTGATTGTTAAGTCATCATTAGAACATAAAAATCGGTAATAGAGCAATTCTTGGCTTCTCTGTATCAAAAATCTCTATTCTCTCCTGCCAGTTCGCTCGAAACTCAATGTTCTTCAACTCGTAATCATTCCTGCACGGCTGCATCTTTGCAACTCGGCATCAAAACAAAACTGTCCTCTCGCTTCGCTTTCAGTTCTTTCCGACCCTCATAGTGTCTTGCTTCATAGAACTCCTACCTTCTCTCGTTATCCGGCTCTTCCGGTATATTCGCTAGCAAGCTCTGACATCTACAGTTGTTTCTTGAATTCAAGCAGATGAATGGCTGATCTAGAGTCGTGGCGTCGCCACACCCAGCTTGCCCGACCAATTGACAACACACACATCTATCATGGCCAGACTGACGATCTCGCTCCGTCTGACAACACATCGTACTCCACTTCGCTTGGCGTGGACGAAAGCAAGCTTCGACCACGACCCAGGAGGAGTCTCGCTTCATTCGCCTCTTATCTCGCTACGCATAATCGTACTGTTTCTCCGCGCAGCAGGCCCGAATGGCCTTCCATCGACTGGTCGAACCTCAGCAGCCTCAATGAGACGGATGGTGTGTATAAGCCGGACATAGAGCTTATGTGCACTACAATTACGCAGCAAGTGCTGGCAAACCCATCCGCAGATTTACCAGCGCAGTACAATACTTTTGTGTTGCATATGATAGAGGGTTATTATCAGTCCAACGCCGACGTGCAAGAGTTACAAATGAGGCTTTCTGAGCAGACCGAATGCAACCAGACTACTATAGATGAGCTCCATAGAGCAATCTCATCCTGGCCCTGAGAAAAGGCGCACATGCTTCAAAGCCAGGAAAACACAGATTATAACACCTTGCATTCCACAGAACCTGGCAAGGAGGCAATTGTCGCAAGACTGCAAAAGCACGATTCCACAGTCCAGACACCTAAGTCTGGCACTGATTACGAAAACAATAGCCAGAAGCAGAAACAGGCAGAAAAAACCGGTGGTAAGTCAGTCAAAGCTAGCCGACGGCGTTATTCTGATCTCAGGCAGCATCGGAGCGTCATCAACTGATGTCTTCAGCGCGGAAATACCGTCAGCCTAGCGCAGCAACTATAGGCGTCGAATCAAGCCGTGCTTACTGGCCGTCCTCGCCTCTTCAACATGGCATGGAGCTCATTGATTGTGATGCATTCAGCGCGGAAAGTAACGGCGAAGGGCATCGACTCCTAATTTCGGCCTCAGATGCCTTTTGGGGTCTTGAAGACGATATTGCTTCCCACCTGGCCTGGTTTACTTTGCGTCTTAAGTGCCAGCCAGGTGACATCATTTCGGTATTGTCAGAGCTTCTTCGATCAACTCAAAAAGGATTACAAAGCGGTTTAACCCCAAGCACTAGCGGTACCCTTCATCCAATTATTCCAACAGCCTCCGGAAAGGTTGTTTCCCCAGGGAAAGGTCAGATACTATCAGGCGGCTCAAAGAAGCTCATAGGATCAAACAGGTCTCTATCAATTCAGTCAATTCGGGCGCTTGGCCATCGTCGAGGCTTCTCATTCTTTCCAGGAGACGACTCTACTAACCCTATATTATTCAATACCGTTGGAGGCCAATATACGGACTGCGAAACGATTTCCATCCGTCCTCTGGACTGGCAAGACACGAAGCAAGGTGAGCATAATGGATCAGGCGCGTCGGCGAAAGGAGGATTGTCAGGCGGAATGGCTGTGGGTTCAAGATCACAGCAACCGCTTGCCAAGTCGATCGTATCACTGACAGCTGGGTCGGATGTCTCGAGGAGTCCTCAGCCACATGGGTCAGGAAAGAGCGATCTCACTACCATTATTGATGGCTCCAGCCGCAGCTCATCACTGTCACAAAGAGAGTCTCTAAACAGCAATGTCGAAAACGACACTGTGCGAAAATGTTTTATCCGTCGCGGGAACAGTCATCTCGCTGTTGCTGCTGCGCGTGCAGCGAGAACGTAGCGGTAAATGGACAAGCCTTACATAGGGAATCGAGCTCGTGAGTGCAGTTGACCTCGGAGAAGGATATCCTGTGCTGAGGGGACGATAGAAGCTGGCAAACATAGCATCGACCCGCAAGAGACGCAGCTACGGTGATACCGTGATCCGAACATGTAGCAAATGATACGGAGACTTTTTTTCTCTTTTTCTCTTTTTTTCTGTCTAACGCTAATTGTTATAAGTAAGATCTTTAAAATTTCTTTTCTCTTTTATAACTATAAATATTATTTAAACTATTATTAAAGTTTAAAAAAGTAGTTTATATTAAAATTCAATTTACGTAATACTTAGTAATTACGTAATACGTCTTAGCGCGTTTATATTATATTACTCTTATCTCTATAAAACTCTATAATTAATAAAATTAAGTATTATATCTTTGAAATTTTAATAAATTATAAATTTATATTATATTTAATAACTATTTTAATTTTAATAAATTATAAATTTATATTATATTTAATAACTATTTTAATATTAATATAATCTATTTCTATATTTATAACTATTTTTAAATATTTATATTTATTATAATAAAGATAATTATTATTATTATTAGAAACTTAATAATATATATAATAACTCTTTATTATAGTATAAAGAGAATATTATCTATATAGAATAATTATAAGTATAAGTTTTATAGTAGAGTATGTTAGAACCAGCATAGGTGTGATACCAGTATGGGTGAGGTAGAACGAGGATAATAAGGCTACCGAACTATGTATGTGGGAAGGAGGTATGATATGGTAGGGGATGCCTCCGCCAAGGCCCGCTAGCCATAGGGCTGAGTGGTGTGTCAAGGGTACGCTCGTAACAGAGTAGAAAGATTAAAAGATCTTAATATACTAAGTTTAATTAAGCTATAATATAAATAATATAATTAAAATCGTAATATTATCTCTCTTTTTAATTCGAAGTTTTAATAACGATTATTATATAGTAGATATCGATCTTATAAAAAGTATAATAAAATATATATAAAGTAATATTCTTAAATATATTAACTTAATATTTTATTACGAATATAAAATCTTTTTATAAATCGATATAGCTACTATAAATTAATAGCGCTAATAAAGAAGATTATTTTAAAAGTTTTTTTAAATAATAAATAGAGATTAACGACCTCGAGGTAATAATAATAAGATTCTATTATTAGATTTAAATATTTTATTATATCTCTAAATAATTACTAGAAGAAATTTTTCTCGCTTTTAAACTCTTTATATCTAATTTTATATATTAAATATCTTCTCTTATTAATTAAGAGTTTATTTTTTTATTTTTTTATTTTAAATTTAACTATTTCTTTATCGTTTTAGATTTTATTTTCTTTATTAATATTATTAAGAAATTATTATAGTTTAACTTATATATATATATAATATAAAAGATATTAATTAATCTATATATCTATAGAGTAAATATATACGATATTAAGTCTACGCTAGTAGCTCTATAAGTATCTCTAAGATATCTTATAATAATTACTTATAAAAAATAGAGAAATATTATATTCTTATAATAAGAAGTATATATATATAATTCTTCGAATATTGAAAATAAATAAAGATACTAGACTAATTAATAGTATATATTTCGCGAAATCTCTTATCGTAGTAAAAGCTTTTAAATAATAAAATAAATATTAAAGTAAGATATCGAACGATTTTAATTCGTTTAAATATATATTATTCGAACTTTCTTCTATAGAGATTCTACTAGCTATAATCGTCGTAGTAGATTCTTCTCTTATAACGTTATTATAGTAATATATTATATTAATATAATAGAGATAGTAGATTAAATTATAATATCGTTCTTCGCTTATTAAGTAACGATCTAACGTGGAACTATAGAGAGTATATAACGTAGGATCTTGGAGAGCTAAGCCGTGTTCTTAGTGCTAAGAGTCTTACTATCGCTTAATTTCTTCGTAACGTTCTCCGCATTTACCTACTATAGTAATTTCTTCTCTTATTAAATATTAAATTAATATAAGATTATAGAGAGTAGATTTATTATATAACTGTTATTACTAACTATCTTTATAATTTTCTTTATATTATATTATTTCTTCTCTTATTTAATTAAGTACTCTAGCTAAGTAGTTAACTAAGTAAATTAATAAATTAACTATATAATTAGTTAAGTAACTAACTAAGTAAATTATAAGATCTTAATTCTAGTCTATTCTTAACATATATAGATCGCTTAGTCTTAAAGAATTTTAGCTTACTACTAGTAGAACTTGTAATCTTCTTCGATAACGAAATAAAACGATTTATTATCTCTTTCTAAGTAGTATTAAGCTATTACGTTATACTTTCATAGATAGTACTCTCTTATATGAAATAATCTATAGTACTCGATACGATATTACTTATATAGAATTATAGTAATTCTACTATTATAATATCGATAGATCTAATAAAAGAATCGATTAGAATATAGATTTTTATTAAAAGATATTCGATAATAGCGAGTATTATAAAGAGTCGACTTAAAGCGTTATACTATTAGATATTAATATAGACTTTATATAAACGTCTAATAACGTCTAAATATTCTATAAAGTAAAGTTAGATATTACTATTAATTATTAAGAAATTATTATAATTTAACTTATATATATATATAGTATAAAAGATGTTAATTAATCTATATATTTATAGAATAGATATATATAGTATTAAGTCTACGCTAGTAACTCTATAAGTATCTCTAAGATATCTTATAATAATATTAATAAATAATAATAAGAATTTAATCTATTTTAATAAGAGATTACTATTATTAAAATATAATAGCAATAAATAAAAGATTAAGTAAATATTATTTATAAAAATTAAGAGTTCTAACTTATAAGCGAAATTATTTAAAACTTTAGTAATTTTAAATAATTCGAAATTTTTATAATTTAGTAATTTGCTAAGGCGTATAATTTAATATTTCTTTTATTAAATATAATTATATTTTTAACTTTAAATATAAATATTAGAAGTTAATAATAATTAGTTTACTTCTTTTATAATACTTATAATTATTTAAACTAACTTTTTAAATAATTCTTTATATTATCTATCTTTTTAATAAACTTATTAACTAACTTAATATCTTTTTTTACTCTTTAATTAATAAATTAATCTTAAGAGAAAAAAGATTTTATTCTTAAATAAAGAATATATTCTTTAATAAGAAGAAAGAGTAATATATTTAATAAGGCGTTCTTATTAGAGTTAACTTCGAACTCTACTATTAATAATAAATTTACTTAATTATTTTAATTATAATAAGTAAAGGCTTATAAACTAAATTTATAGAGTTAAATTTAAATTTTTATAAGTTAAATAAAAATTTAGCCCTAGCCCTAAGTTAAATCGAACTTTAATCGCTTACTATACGTTTTTAATTTACTTCTATTATTATAAAATTAATAAAGAAGATAAAAGCCTTAATTCTAAATTAAATCGAACTCTACTTACTTTTTATATAATATTTAATCTAATTCTATTACTATAAATCGCTAATTAATTATATTCTTATTTAAAAAAGTAGTATTTATTTAATAATTTTATTTTTAATATATTTTACTAGTCGAGTAGATTATCTTTTTAATCAATTATCTAAAATTATAATTAATAAATTAATTTTATTAATAATTCGATTTAAGATTATATATAATTAATTATAAATAAAGATTTTGAAGTATAAAAATAGATTAATTTATTATAATAACTAATTCTAGAATTTATTAATTAAAGAAAAAATTAAATATATTAAAAGAGAGTATATAGATTATTTAAATTAGACGAAGCTAGAGAAATATATAATATTATTTATTATTTATTATTATATTCGCTTTTAAAGATATAATAATTAAATATTTTAGATTTAATATATTTAATTTATAAATATATTTTATTATATAGATTTATATACTACTTTAAATTTCTTAATAGTATTATTATATAATTTTATTTTAACTTTAAATAATAGAGTAAAAATAAGATTAATTTAAAGATATTTCTTATTTTAATAGATAGAAGAAAGCTATCTTTCTTATTAATAACTTAATTTCTATTATTATAAATAATCTTAATTTTAAAAAACTTATTAAAAATTTAATTATTAAATTAAGTAATATTTTTATTAAAAGTATAAAGAATTATTTTAAATATATAAAAATTAGCTATTTAATATAAATTAAAATTATTATAAATAATATTAATTAATTAAATAATAGAATTATTTAATAACTATTTAATAAATAAATTAATAACTTCTTATTCTTCGAAATTTATTAAGATATTATTATTTATATTTAATAATTTCTAAACGAATTTCTTTATATTAATTTAATCTTAATTAATTAAATTAAAATTTTAAAGCTTTATATTTTTTATAAATTTAAATATTTAAACATTATTTTAAAAATAGAATATTTATAATATAGCTTAAGCGATATAATCTAATTTAATACTCTTAATAATAAAAAGAATTTAATAAAAGTTATTATAGAAATATATAACTATATTATTAAAAGAAGTAATTTTTTTTTAAATATTTTAAAATATATAATTAATAATTTTAATATTATAGCGATTTTATATAAAAATCTTATTTTAAAAAATAAGTCTAATTATCTTTAATAATCAAGTTAAATTAAATCTTATTAATATATTATAATTAAATTAAATAATAATATTAAAAGAAATTTTAAAGTAAGAATAAATAATAACGTTATTTTAAAAAAGAATAAAGATAAAATTAAATAATAATTATAATAATAATTATCTTAGAGTTATATTATACTCTTTATAATATAATATTTTAAAATATAATTTTATTAATATCTTTATAATTATTTAGAGAAAAAAATTAATTATTAGAATAAAAGATTATATTCTAAATAGCGTTAGTTATAATAATTTAATTATTATTAAAATTTACTTATA